GTTGCTCAGTTGGTTACAGCATTGTCCCAGTACACCAAGGTTGCAGGCTTGATCCCTGGTAGGGCCCATACAGGAATCAACCAATGAATGCATAAATAAGTGGAACAACAAATCAATTTCTGTCCATCTGTCTCTTTCTCAAATAAAAAAAATAGAACTCTAATAATTAATTAAAGATTTGTAAGAATTCAAAGAGCATTTGTTCAAGAAAAATGGCTGAATCTCCTTAGGAATAGTGAACTTTGTGAATATTTAACTTGCTCTATTTCCATCCCCTTCTCCACAGTAGTCTTAAAACCAATGTCTAACAACTATGGTAACAGTGAAAACCAGAGGCCTGGCAGCCACCGGAATAAACTTAGTGGCCTTGGAGCTTCTCAAAAGCCCCATCCCTAGAGAATTGCCACTATTTAACCTGCAAAACTCCATTTTCATGGCTTGTCTTTATTTGACCTAACTTAGAGCTTACTCTGTACAAAGAGTCCTATCCCTAGGGCCTTTGTTGAAAACAATCAGTGATAATTGTTTAATTTTGCAGCTGCCTGAGATGGTGATACCAGCTGGGGCTAACAAGAGGTTGACCAAGAAACTTAATAGGAAAAATAGGGCAATGAGATGTTTATAAGGGTCTTTGAAAAGCACCAGCATATGACCACGGTGGAGGATCAGCTATGCAGCAGCCCACTGCATAGAGCAGGACCTACTTCAGGAGGTCTCTGATGCCCTCTGAGTCTGTTTCTTGAGTGTGTTCCTTGTAGAAGTGGTTGAGTGGTGAGCTATGCATGTGTCCAGGAAAAATTTAGAAGTCCCTAACCTTTCAACTCTGGCTGACCTTGGTGGTTTGTTTTTGTTTTCAGTTACAGTTGATGTACAATATTATATTAGTTTTAGTTGTACAACATAGTGATTAGACATTTAAATAACTTACGAAGTGATCACCTCAATAAGTCTTGTACCCACCTGACACCATACATAGTTATTACATTATTATTAACGATATTCCCTATGTTGTACTTTGTATCCCCATGGCTGTTCTGTACCTACCAATTTGTACTCTAAAACTCTTCACTGTTTTCACCCATCTCCCCAACCCCCACCTCCATCTGGCAACCGTCAAAATGTTCTCTGTATCTGTGGGTCTGTTTCTGGTCTGCTTGTTCATTTATTTTGTTTTTAAATTCAATTGTTGACAGATATGCATTTATTAGCATTTTATTGTTCATATTTTTGATCTTTCTTTTCTTCTTCTTAAAGAAGACCCTTTAACATTTCATACAATACTGGTTCGGTGGTGATGAACTCCTTGCGCTATTTCTTGCCTGGAAAGCTCTTTATCTGTCTTTCAATTCTATTTTTTAAATTTTTATTTATATTACTGTATTTATTTATTTTTATTGTTGTTCAAGTACAGTTTTCTCCATTTTCCTGCCACCAATTTCTGTCCCTCACCCACCCCTACCTCCCACCCTCAATCCTACCCCTCTTTGGCTTTGTCCATGGGTCCTTTATACATGTTCCTTGTGTCTTTCAATTCTAAATGATAGCTTTGCTGGTTAGAGTAATCTTGGTTGAAGGTCCTTGTATTGCATCACTTTGAATATTTCTTGCCACTCCCTTATGTCTGCAAAGTTTCTGTTGAGAAATCAGCATAAGAAGACAGTCTTAAAAGGGGAGCTCCCTTTTAGGTGAAAAAGATTCTCTCTTTGTCTTTATCCTTTTGCATTTTAATTATCTTGTGTCTTGGTGTGGGCCTCTTTGGGTTCATCTTGTTTGGGATTGTCTGTGTTTCATGGACTTGTATGTCTATTTCCTTCACCAGGTTAGGGAAGTTTTTCATCATTATTTTTTCAAATAGGTTTTCGATTCCTTGTTCTCTCTCTTCTCCTTTCAGCACCCTCATGGTGCAAATGTTAGTACACTTGAAGTTGTCCCAGGGGCCCCTTACAGTATCCTCATTTTCTTGGATTCTTTTTTCTTTTTGCTGTTCCAATTGGGTGTTTTTTGCTTCCTTATATTCCAAATTGCTGATCATTCTCAGCTTTATCTACACAACTGTTTATTCGCTGTAAATTATTTTACATTTCAGTTAATGTAGCCTTCATTTTTGACTAGTCCTTTTTTTCTGCTATTTAAGCTCTCACTAATTTCACTGACCACCATAAAACCAGTGTTTTGAACTCTGAATCTTGCTTGTTTCCATTTTGTTTTGTTTTATTTTTCTGGAGTTCTGTTCTTTAATTTGAGACATGTTTCTTTGCATTCTCATTTTGGCAGCCTCCCTGTGTTTGTTTCTTGTATTAAGTAGTGTTGCTATGTCTCCCAGTCTTGGTAGAGTGGCCTATTGTAGTAGGTGTCCTATAGGCTCCAGTGGCACAGCTTCCTGATCACCCAAGCTGGGCACTTGAAATGTGCCCTCTGTGTGGACTGTGTAACCCTCTTGTTGTAGTTGAGCCTTGATTGCTGTCGGCACATCAGTGGAAGGGATTTAACCCCAGATCAGTCAGCTGTAAGGACTGGCTGTGACCACTGACCACTGACTGACCTCTGACCACGGTGGAGGATCAGCTGTGCAGTGGCCTGCCGCATAGAGCACAACCTTCTTCAGGAGGGCTCTGATGCCCTCTGAGTCTGTCTCTGGAGTGTGTTCCTTGTGGAAGTGGTTGGGTGGTGATGCTTCAATGTGGTCTGAAGCTGTCCACTGGGTGTGCTGGGTTTGGGGCCTCCTGGGAGGTGCAGGCCAAGTTCAGCCATATCCTGTGTTCTGCCTGGGGCCACCTGGCATGGACTACAAAGCAATGCAGGTGTCTGCTACTTGTGCCGGGCTTGGAGGTGCCCAGGTGAGGCCAAGCTGTGAACCGAGGCTGGCTGCTGCTACAGCCAGGCCCAGGGCCACAAGAGGTACCATTTGAGAGATTTTAGGGAAAACATGAAGCATGAGCGAAGACAGGCCATTTGTTTGGAAAAAGCCATGAGAAACAACTTGAATGGGCCCAAAAGTTGGGTGGGGCAGGGTCTCAGGGAATCACCAGACCAGGGCAAAGAGTGTGAACCAGGTAAATGGAGTCTCTGAAATGGAGCCAGCCTGCTGGCTCTGTGGGAGGAGGGCTCATTACAGTGACAATGGCTTCTACCAGCACCTCTGCCTGGGAGAAAGTTGCACTCCTCCATCTCTTGTCGTGATGCCGGACAACTCACTTGCTCCCTGTATGTCTCTGGTGCCGTTCAGGCTGCTGCCTCAGTGCTGGACCTGAGAAGGAGTGAGTCTGAGTAATGAGTGTGGGCCTGTTAAAAGAAACTGTTTGGGCCTTTAGAAATCCTCCATCTCCCTCTGCCTCAAACCCCACTGGTTTTTACAGCCAGAAGTTATGGGGACTCTCTTCCTGGCACTCAAGCCCTGGGCTGGAGGGTGTGCTATGTGGTTGGGACCCCTCCCTCCTCAGGGGGGACCTCTGCAGCTGAGTTATCCCTCCCAATTTTTATTGCCACACATGGATGTGTGACCAGCCCATTCCATGTCTCTGTTCCTCCTACCAGTCTCACTGTGGCTTCTTTAATTCGCTAGTTGTAGGACTTCCTTCCATTCAGCCAGATTTCAGATGGTTCTATATGATGGTTGTTCTGCAGTTTAGTTGTAATTTCCATGTGGTTGTGGGAGGATGTGAGTACCACATTTACCTATCCACCATCTTGACTGGAGGCCTTCTGACCTTGGTGTCTTTATGTTCTGCACAAGCAGGAAGTAAAAGTTAAGGAGTTAAGGCAGACAAAAGGAAAAAATGATTAGTTGGAATTTGACAAAAATAAGGGATGATTCATGTCCAGAGTGGAAGGAGTGTGAGATTTCCTTATGATGCTCAAAACAGGAAGCAGTTTAAAATTTATGGCCTTAGCCTGTGCCTTAGTTGGTTGGAATGTCATTCAATGAGCCCAAAGGTTGCTGGTTCAATTCTCTGTCAGAGCGCATGCCTAGGTTGAAGGTTTGTTCCCCGGTTGGGGCACATAGGGAAGGCAACCACTCAATGTTTCTCTCTCACATCAATGTTTCTTTCTATTTCTATTTCTCTCTCCCTCTCTTTCTTCTTCTTCTCCTCCCTCTCCTTTTTCCTCACCTTCTCCCTCTACCTCCCTCTCTCTAAAATCAGTAGAAGCATGTCCTCGGGTGAAGATTAAAAATTAAAACTTATGGATTGCTTATATGTGGAATGTGCCATTTAATATTTTTGAACCATGGTTGATGCAAATAACAAACTGCAGAAAACAAAGCCGTGGATAAGGGGAAACTACTGTACTAAAAACCACTAGATTGTACATATAAAATGGTGAATTTTATGGTATGTTAATTATATCTCAATGAAATTGTTATTAAAAAAATAAAAACCCTATGGTGTGCCTTTTAAATGGATCGTGTGGTATTGAAAAATAAATTATTCCGAAGAGTTTAGTGTTTGCAGTTGTTTTTTAATAAACTGTCTAAAGACTGGAACTGCATTTGTAGAGTTGTTATACTAGCCAGAGGTACATGACTATTTGTACAAATGTGAGTCAAAGCTACACATAATCAAAATTCATTAGAATTAGCGAAATTGAGATTATCTCAGTGTTTTTGTAGAAAGTTTTATTTCATTTATGATTGTGAGTTAAAATACTTTTAAGCATTCTTTGGATGGATGATAAAAATCTTCTCGTTGTTTTCCAATGCTTCATCTTCAATTATTTTTGTTGGTGAACTATAAGATTAAACTGCTTTTCTGTGTACTCTGTGGATTTAAGTAGTTGGATTTAAAGTGAATTAAGCTTGTTATAAGCTTTTATTCTTTTTTCACCTAAATTTTGAAATAAATGAATTCAGTTTTTACTAGCTATAAAATCTTACTGTGTGATTTTTATGGTTTAATAAATGGAGTGTATTCTGATGTTAGTGGGATCCTATTTTCTGTCTTCTGTAGTTTTCTTTCATATATCATTGCAGTCTGTTCTATGTAACCTGCTGTAATGTTTAGCTTGCAGAACACAGAGAAGTACGGCATACTTACAGCCTGGAGTCTCTTTGCCACTGCCCTTTTTACGAAGAAGCCATGCACTTAGTTGAGGAAGGAAAAATTTACTCAAGAGTGCTTAGGTACCATTTCAGTTTTGCTTATGTTTATGAAAAATATTCAGGTGCTGTTGCTATGTTTGTATGATACTTATTAAAAATGTTCATGAGAATAGGGGAAAGTATATTTTTAGGCTAAAAAAATTTTTTTAATATATTTTGTCAGTGTTGAAAAGACATGTGTTTTATATTAATGTCCTGAGGTTAAGCCTTGTTTGAGTCCAAATTTGTAGTAGGCTTGCTCTTGAATGCAGTGTAACAGTTTTCTCCCCTGTTATTACATAGAACTGAAATGCTGGAGTGCCTAGGAGACAGTGATTTTCTTGCCAAGCTCCACTGTATTCGACAGGCTTTTCAGGTACTTTTTTTTCTAACATTAAGTGACTTTACCCAGCCACTCATCCCCACCCTCATGCTGTAGAGTCCAGCTGCATATAAACAGGACAGCTCTTTGCTCTTTGTTATTCTTATTTTTAATGGCAAATATAAAGTCTACCAAGTTTATTTTTTCCCGCCTGCTGTTTCCCTTCATTTGGCATCATTTGTCATTGTCCTCTCCCATGGCTTCCATGTCCACCAGACTTTGTCAAAACAGGATATTTTGATGCTGGAGATGTGTACAAATAGCAGTGTAAAATATCTTCCATTTTAACTATCAATTAGTATGTGTTCTAGATTTTTTTTATTATTTGAATCAATTGTAAAATATTGATTTCCTAAAATGAAGTAAGGTCATTAGACAACAAAATTATCTTTATTTTCTAATGTTTAGGGGCAGTGTGCCATTTAATTTGGTCTTTCTAATATTAAATTGAACAGAATTTAAATTCAGATATATCTCCCTTTAATCTTTTTTGATTATAGGTTTCAAGAGCACATTTCATTTTAGTAAATTAGAACTTTCTCTGTGGTCTGCCTGCTGAAATAGTGCCACATACAATGCATTGACTGCATTGGGGTTATTTGTGCATAGATGTGCTATAAAGTTAAATGTGCATTCAAATTAATTACAGGTCTCTTTTTTCTTTGCTTGGTTATGGATTTTTTTTTTTTAGGTCATTCTTTCAGAAAGAGCCAACAGGATATTCCTTGCTGAGAGTGGAAGGAAAATTTTATCAGCCTTAATTGTGAAAGCACGAAAGGTAACTTGTTTTGTTGGCAAGTTTTTTATTGTTTTTATTGAAGATTAAAATATATTAAATTTTTAATAGAAGAAACAGTTTTTGTAGATAGTCGCAAAAGTTCACATATTGAAAATCGATACTCTAAAGAGTATTGATATCTGCTTGGGCTGAATTATTTCTATGTATAAAGCTCACTCTGTTTTGATCCTGTTGTTTTTCATGTTATTCTCAATTTGCCATAAAGTCTGTGAATGTCATGGTGAGGATCATCATTACATCTTCTAACAATCACAACTGTTATTATTTCTAATACCCCTCCTCTTGCCTTCCTTAATTCTGTTCAGTGAGGAGGTTCCAGGAAATAGTATAGATCTCAGAAATTTGGAAATACAAATTGAGCTGCCTCTTATGTTTATTCATCTTCATGGGACTGAATAAGGCAGAGGCAATGAAAAGAACTTCCTTAAGACTATGAGGAACCACTTGTTTGTATGCAGGTGTGTCTGGATAATGAGGGAAACCAAAATAAAATAGGCTTTCCTTGAACCATTCAAACACCTGGTTTTCAGACCTAAACTATTTTAACCTCAATCCCATTGAATAAATATAATAGAATTATATTTATAGTACCCTGTTTCAGAGGGTTCTAATGATGATTAAATAAATGATAAGCAGGAAAGCAAATTTTTATTACAAAGTACAAAATAAGTGAAAGGTGATATTAACAACTTGCCATTCCCAATGTTAATTTTATGTTGCTTTTGTGGCCTTCCCATGGCAGATAAACCCGGTGGTTTGAACTAGAGTTCCTCCTAAAGGAATAGAACTGTATCAAAAGCATCAGAGGGTATCTTCTGCAACCAAGTTTTTATCTAAGGACTGGCCTAAATAAGCATATTTCGGTAGTAGACTCCTTGCTTATGACATTTTACAAATGTTCTTAGTCTTGGCTTCTTCAACATGTTGGAACAACAAACTATTAAACTGAATGAATATGGCATACCTTGAAAATGTATTTTAATTTCAGTAACTAAACAGAATGAAGAACTAACAAATTTGCTTGAAGAGTAACTTATTTTCTTTGTAGGTTTAAGCCTTGTTATAAAGTTGAGTCTAACTATAACAACAAGTAAAATAGACTACCTAAGAATAAACTCTACAAAGGAGGTAAAAGATTTGTACTCAAAAAACTACAGAGCACTGAAGAAAGTAATTAAAATACAAATAAATGGAAGCACATACTGTGTTCGTGGACAGGAAGTATTAACATCATTAAAATATCCATATTACCAAAGCAAGCTGTAGATTCAACGCAATCCCTATTAAAATACCAATTTTATTTCACAGATCTAGAAGAAATATTTCAAAAGTTTATATGGACTCAAAAAAGACCCTGAATAGCCTCAGCAATCTTGAGAAAGAAGAACAAAGTAGGAGGGATCATAATACCCCATGTCAAACTGTAGTACAAGGCCACTGTAATCAAAACAGTCTGGCACTGGCATAAGAACAGACACATAGATCAGTGGAACAGAACAGAGAGCCCAAAAATAAACCCATGTCTTTATGGTCAATTACTATTTGACAAAGGGGGCAGAAGTATTAAATGGAGTAAAAATAGCCTCTTCAATAAATGTTGTTGGGGAAACTGTTCTGGTACATGGAAAAATAATGAAAACAGGCCACCAACTTACACCATACATGAGAATAAACTCAAATGAAGAAGAGACTTAATTGTAAGTGGTGAGAACATAAAAGTCCTAGAGGAAAACATAGCCAGGAAAATTTCAGATATATTACATAGCAATATTTTTACCAATATCTCTCCTAGGGCATGGGAAATAAAGGAAAAAATAAAAATATGGAACTACATCAAATTAAAAAGCTTCTGCACGGTTAAGGAAACCATCGTCAAAATGAAAAGGGTACTGACCATATATGGGAGACTGTATTTGCCAATGACACCTTGGACAAGGGTTTGATCTCCAAAACACATAAAGAATTCATATGACTCAACACCAAGAAGTCAAACAATTCAATTAAAAAATTGGCAAAGGACCTCAATAGCCACATCTCCAAGGAGGACATACAGATCATCCATAGACATATAAAAGGATGCACAACATCACTAGCCATCAGAGATATGAAAATCAAAACCACAAAGAGACATCACCTCACACCTGTCAGAATAGCCATCAGGAATAAATCAACAAACAACAAGAGCTGGTGAGGAAGTGGAAAAAAGGGAACCCTAGTGCATGGTTGGTGGGAACGCAGACTGGTGCAGCCACTATGGAAAACATGGAATTTCCTTAAAAAATTAAAAATGGAACTATCTTTTGACCCAGCAATTCCAATGTTGGGAATATACCCTAAGAATCCTGAAATACCAATTCAAAAGCATTTAAGCACCCCAATGTTCATAGCAGCGCTATTTACAATAGCCAAATGCTAGGAACAGCCTGAGTGCCCATCAATGAATGAGTGGATCAAATAACTGTGGTACATTTACACAATGGAATACTATGCAGCAGAAAACAAAGAAATCCTACCTTCCATGACAGCATGAGGGAACTAGAAAATATTATGCTAAGTGAAATAAGCTAGTCAGTGAAAGACAAATGCTATAAAATCTCACTTATAAGAGGAACCTAATGAACAAAATAAACTAACTAGCAAAATAAAACCAGAGGCATGGAAACAAGGAAAAGACTGACAGTGGGGGCAGGGGGGAAGGTGGAAAGAAGGGGAAGGGACTAAACAAGAAACAGCTATGAATGACCCATGGACGTGAACAATAGGGTGGGGATTGACTGTGGGAGCAGAGGTGGGCTGGGTCGGGCAGGGGAAAGCAACAGGGGAAAAGTGGGACAGCTGTAATAGAACAACAATAAAATATTTAATTTTTTAAAAAAGTTAAGTTTAGTATTAAAGTGTGTTTTCTTCTGCAGAATCCAAAGAAGTTTGAAGATGTTTTTGATGAAATGATCTATTTTTTAGAGCAGACTGACCACTGGGATAGTACTGAAATGGAACTTGCTGCTAGAGGAGTAAGTTCAAATTTTTTATAATATTTATTCCCCTTAGTTATTTACACATAATATTTACGTAATTTGAGGCCACTGTTTCCTTACAGAAAATCTCAGTGTGTGGTCATGGTTATGACAGAGTCATAATAGCAACCATAGGCTTTTATACATTGGAGCAACAGTTGAAAATAATTGCTTTTTAAAAAGTCTTTTTCTTCCCCCCATCACTTCTGAAAGTCAAGAGCAGGCCCTAGCAGGGCAGAAATGGTGGCCTGTGCGTGTATGGTTTCAGATGGGCAGTTCACTGGGGCCAGGGCATTGACTACATGTACAGGATTAAACAAACAAATACATTGAGAACAATTGGATCCAGGCTTCTTACCGTTGGAGAACGGAGGTATGAAAAGCTAGGATTGGATTTGGAGCTCTCGGTATAAATTCAGAGTTTATAATAGATATAGAAATAAATATAAAGGCTTGCATACACACAAACATACATGTACTTCCCAGCTCTGTTCACAGAGAGGGTCTGGCGCAGCAGCAGCACCTCCAAAGAAATTACTCCTCGAGGGCACATGCATCTTGGCTTCTAAGTACCAGTCTGCACTAAAAGGAACTAGGACTCCTTGGGAAAATGGCTGGTTTCAGCACTGGGATAGGGAAAGTACATGGTGAGCCTGGAACATTTTGTTGTCATGGAATCTTAAGGAATGAGTTGGCAAGGGGCTACAAGGCTTTCTAGGCAGGGAAAGCAGTAGGTACAGAGACATAGAGGCATATAGTCTTGCCTTTTCCAGTGTTCTCTCACTTGGCTAAGGAATCGGTCCCCATTCAGTTGTGCAGGCCAGAAACCTGGGGCTTTTCCTTTATACCTCCCTGGTCCTCACCTACTTTATTGTATTCTTTTCTTAAGTTTTGTCAACTTCAACTTCTAAATATCTTTCAATTTCTTTAACTTTTCTCCCTTTCTGCCATCCCTCCTATTGCCTGATGGCTGTTATCTTTCCCTGGACTACCTCAGAGTCTTTGCATTCCCTGATTCCCGGCCTACTCCTCCCATGCCCGCATTCACTCTTTCTCCTCTCCATTCCACTCTCCACACTGCCACCCAACCCATCTTTAAAAGTACAGATCTGATCATCCATCTCCTCTTCACCACGACACCCCTAATTCCTGTGAAGATAAAATCCAGAGTCATGACCACAGGTCATAAACTCTGCAGGAGCTGTGCCTTCCCCCTTGTCTCCCCTCTGTGCTCTCGGCGAGAGTGCGCTACAGCACACTTGCTGTGATTTCCTTGACTCATCGCCACTGTGTTCCTTCTTACCTTCAAGTCCTTGTCAAGGTATTTCCTGTACCTACCTGCATGCCTTACTCCCTGAAGAAAGCCTTCTGGGACATCCAGTCTAGTTTAGAAGCTCCGTCGCAAGCTCTCAGTGTACCATGTACGTTTTCCTTTACTGTGTTTATCACAGTTTGTAATTGTGTGTTTGTGGGATTATTTGTTGCTGTTTGTTTTCCCCACTAAACTCGAAGCATTTAGTTTGCTTACTGTAGAAGTCTGAGCACCTGGTACAGCAAGTAGTCCAATAAAGCATGAATGAACAAAAGAGCAAGAGGTTTATGATGTGGTGGGGAAGACAGAGAGATGTACCAACAACTCAGTGATAAAGCAGAATGATTTTTGGGATACCTTAGCAAAAGCACGAATAAAGGACTCCTGGAGTAGAGTGAAGGGAGAACCTAATGCCACCTGTTGGGATCAAGGAAGAACCAGGTGTCATGTGAATTGTAACTGCTGGGGTTGAGTTGTTTTCATGTTTGTCTCTCCTCTTCCTCTTCTTTTTGTTAGAGATATAATCTGATTAAACTAAAAAACAGCCAGCTGTTATAAAGTATGAAGCCCTGGCTCAAACTTTATTTTAGCTCTATGTAATAACAATTTCTGTTTTAACTCATCATTTAATGCAGGTGAATATTCTAAATTTTTATGATGTTGTTCTGGATTTTATATTAATGGATTCCTTTGAAGACTTAGAAAACCCGCCCACATCCATACAGAACGTAGTAAATAATCGCTGGCTAAACTCCTCCTTCAAAGAAACTGTAAGTGGCAGTTTATCTTTCTCAACCATGTAAATTTAATGAAAAATCAGAAATGGGAAGATTAGTAAGATTTACATGTATATTGCCTATAGTGTAACTAGCGTGAACACTGAGGATCAGCTGTGTATAATGGATAACGTCTTCAGAAGAAATTTCCTTTTTGGTTCTTCTGTCAGTCCTTGCCTTGACCTGAAATATTCAATATTTCTTTAGCTCTAAAAACAAAAACAACAACAAAAACAAAACACCTCAGGTGTCACATGAGTTCAGGCCTAACAGAAAATTGTCCATAACTGAAATGGCTCTATGTCTAAACTGAAATGTAGCAGTTGCAGTCAAAAGACAATCTATATTTTTAGAGAAAAATAATGGGGATTTATGTTCCTAAATACTATCAAAAATTAGAGGAGAAAAAAAATAAGCATGTGCCCTTCCCCATCCAAAAACAGGTTTACACCGTGTTCTGTACTTTCAATGTTTTCCGTTTCTGTTGGGTTTTGTATTCAGACCTCTATTTGACATTGTTTTTTTGTTGGGCTTTAAGTGTATATGTGGAAGTAGGTGGGAATAGATATCCATGATGAAGTTTGAATGCTTTTTTAAAAATGTTCCAATGGGTTGTTTTGCAATTATTTTGCAAATTCCTGATACTAAATTTTAAGTTTTAATAAATCCACTTCTCCTTCAAAGTGTGTTTTAGCCCTAAAAGGTACATGTTCTTGTCATTTCCATCACTAATTTGGTAAATGGACCTTGATTCAAGTTGGGTCATGCTAGAGTAGGGTCAGATTTCTTCAGTATCCACTTGGGTGTATTGTCCCTATCATTATGGTTTTATTTTTTTACTTCTGTATTTGGATAAAACTTAGCTTTACCCACAATTACCCAGCAGTACTATTCTTGGAGAGTAGGGGAGCGCTTAGTCTTCATTGTTATACATAAAACCTTTATTGTGTATGTACATCTATGTATACAGATTTTTACTTTTTTCCCGTAGGAACACAATTTAAGAACCATGACAGCTGAATTCTAACTGCCAAGTTTTTTGGTACCAGAGTTCAGCTTTTTCTTTAGAGACTTTTATACTTAATTTTAAAATTTATAAAAACAAAATACCTTTTCATTAATATTTACAAACAATAGAAGACACCTGGACTGCTTCTTACTAGTAGTTACTGTTTTGAACATTTAGACCCATCAACTTTAAATATCTAATAAAAATCACTCTTTTCTAATAGAAAGTTTACATAGTTATAAATTTAAATCTTGTCTTTCTCCTGTGCGTATTTTTAGGCTGTGGCTTCAAGTTGTTGGTCGGTGCTGAAACAGAAGAGGCAGCAGATGAAGGTAAAATACCTTGGACGTCCTCATTAAGTAATTTGAGGCCCCTGTCTAAGAAGCATCTGAGTCAGTTCTCAGGTGGGAAGGGCAGGTCATAAGGACTGTCCCTCAAGCAAGAGGAGTGTCTTATTGGTACATGGTTGGCTTCTTTCTGAATTCTTTTTTCCCTTTTCCTTAACATCCCTTAGAGTTCGGCATAGCAGGTCTTGAGGCATGTGTGGGGTTTCTACTAAGTGGGAGGGGGCTCCAGGATGGAAGCATCCCTAATAGGGTTTTGAGTTTTGCTTTTTCACTTAATGCTGTTTTAAGATTTTAGACAATTGTTTAATATAGTGGTTTGCCCTTCATGCATTCCGATTGAAAAATAATGATGTGATTCTAATAGCTGTTTTATTCAAATGAGAGGCTCTGCGAAAAGAAGTCTCAAAATTTATATCCTGCCTCCATGTTGTACACCCGTCAGCCCATCTCACCCCTATTTCCTGCTCTCACCTTTCACTCCCGTAGCCAGTGGCATGGATTCTGGATTGAAACTGCCTGGTTTCAAATACCACTCCCTAGCCATGACCTCTAGTAAGTTGCTTCACCTCTCTACGCCAGTTTCCTCATCGCTGAAAAAGGGGATAGTATTTATCCCATGGGATTTCTGAGGATTAAATGTATAGTGCTTAGAACAGTGTTTGGTATAGTGCATTTTGCAAGTGTTGGTTATTATATTATTGTTGGTACTATATTCGCCCACCAACTTGTAGTATTTTATCATAACCACACTTCTCAGTTTGATCTTTGTAACACTGCCAAGTGCAGTATTTCCAAAGCAGTCTCACAGCATCTTCAGAAGGTGCTAATTAAAGTAATTTCAGGGTTCATGTATTTGAGTGGTTCTTACTTAAAATGATTCCAGAGGCCCAGTGTTTTAAATAAGTTCCCTAAAATGATAATTATAAACTGTCATGTGTGAGAACCGCTGGTTTAGGGCGAGGAACAGCCTTGTAGACTGGGTGTGAGTCTGACACAGGCAGCATGATAGGCAGTTACTATTATGGCTGATGTTCACGTTTCCCATATGCAAAATGCAGTTAATGTCTACCTCATAGGGCTGCTGTAAGGATGGAGTGAAATAGTATCAACACGCTTAATTTAAACAAAATTAAGAGTAAGTATTTAAAGTTTAATAAGTGGTAGTTTCCATAATTATAATATTATTGTTATATCTAACCTTATTTTTTCTCAGCATAAATTTTTTGCCTTAGACTAGCCTTTCTGTAGCCATAGAAACCTATGTATCTCACCTCTTGGGGAACTATTTCCTATACCCGGAATGCCATACTCTATCCTCTGTACTAAAATAAATCTTACCTGCTATTTGGTTCAGCTCAATAACTATTCCTTGGTGAAGCATGTCTCTTCTTCTTCAGCCCATGCTAACTTCTTACCTGTCTGAACTCCTAATATAGTTAGAGTCTGTATAAGGTTTAGAATTTTAATTTATGCAGAACATTTCTTACACTAGAGTAATAAGTTCAGTGCTTCACTGATAACTTTTTGGCCTTCGCTGGCTAGCTATGGGCGATTTAGGACAGGTTATTTAATCCCTCTGAAGTATCACTTTTTACATATTAAAATGTTGACATGACCTACATTTTCAGGAACATTTTATTAAATAAACTCTAGCACAGTATCTGGAATATAATGAGTACTCATTAAATGGCTATTGCTGCTATAATATGTTTATTAAGTTGAGACTTAGGAGATATCTTAGTGCCTATAAAATAGAAAATAACCCCTCCAAGAGAAAAAAATCTTAAGGCCTAGTTATCCCCAGTCAATGCTATATGACAAATCCCACGGGATCATATTTAACCAGGGACATTCAGAAAGTTATTGATAAACCTAGAGAGTTTCCTAAATCACAACTGCGTGTGTTACTATTTCACAAGAAGAGGGAATTACAGAATTAAATGCTTAAATAGTATCTCATTTCTTAACTAAAAGTTAGGATTCTAGTGAACACAGTTGTGTGCTTAATAATTTAAAATTTGTTTTAGTCTTTTTCAGATAATCTAATTAAGTGACTTATCAGACTTTTTTAATAGCTGAAACCGTGGTGGTCTCATTAATCCTAAAAATTATGCTGCTAAGGAACACTGTTCCATTCTTGTTTTTTCTTGGTGACAACATTGATATGATTGCTTTTTTATGAAGTATATTTATGAAGTGAAGATGCGTTTACGAAATAATGTTTCTCAGCATATTTGACACTATTGGCTGGGTTATGAAATCTACAGAAAACATTCTGTGACTAAAGCTACTTGTAAGTTTATTAACTTTCTTCTTAGCCTGGCTCATCACTGACCCTGGTCTTCCCTCAGAAAGAGCAGGTCATATGATGGATAGCAGTTTAAGTTCCTAAAGAGAAAGAAAATTCAAAAAGGTAAAAATAACTCAATTCTCCTTTACCTCCCAACAGATCCCAGATGGATTTTTCGCCCATTTTTATGCCATTTGTGAACATATCAGCCCTGTCCTAGCCTGGGGCTTTTTGGGTCCTAGAAATTCTCTCTATGATATATGCTGCTTCTTTAAGGTATGTCCAGTAATTGAATCACCTCTTTTTTCTAAGTCAAAAAGCCAGTAAGGTATTACTCTGTTTTGTTTGTGCGTTTGTAGAAGAAAGAATGGTATTTAAAGGTAAAGTTATAAAAGTCACCTAAATTCAGTGTTTAAATGCCCATGGATCAGTATTATATAGACATGGTGCTTTACCCTGGAATAGATGCAAGTCCATAACTTCTCAGTTCCCTCTGTGGCAGATGCATGTTCTTGGATGGAGTTACGATGTAGTCAAATTGCTGTAGACAGTTTGTTCTTCATGCCTGGATGCTTTTGCAATTTATGAAATAAATATTTGTCTTTATTCCTCATATGGCAATTTAGAAAGAAGGCACTGTGCATGGTCCAAGGCAATATGAATGATAAAATCCCAGTCATGAGAAATAACATGAGAGTCTACAGTTGTACCCCAATGTTAGCCGTTTAAATTTGCCAAAACACACATTATATAGGTCATTGCAGAATTTTCTGCTTGGCACAGTACCAAGAAAAGCCTCACTCTTTTAATAGCCTTGAGTTCAGGCAGAGTTTCAAGGAGTAAATAAAAATGTAAATATAAGCAAGTACGAATTTGAAATTTTTTGATGTTTGAAAGTTTCGAGGTTTCGCTACACCCTTTAATAAAACCTTATTAAAAAAATAAGATTTTGTTTATGTGCTGTTAATGTAGCATTTATGTACATGATTTAGGAGGTGTTTATTGTACTGTCTTTCAAAACTCATCAGTATAGAGTTTTTGACTAGTTTACTTAATCCTCCAAATGTAACTTAAAGTATATGTTTAATGGGAAAAATTTGGACTGGGGATTACGTCTATCATGAGTGAACAATCTGACTCTGGGCAAATGATGCTTTGTCCTTCTTTTCTTCATCTATAAAATGAGGGAGATTGACAGGTTGATTGTTATAAAATCCAGTGACTCTTAAGAGGCGTGCCTTCTTAGTACGTCTTAACATTTGATTTTTCTAGGACAGAAATGAAATATTCCTGTTTTTTACTCTTTAAAATTATTTTTATTTTCATGATGGCATAACAACCTGAGACTTGTTACAACTTTCTTAAAATGAGTCTGGGCATAAGTATTAACGTAGTGAAATGAAACATTCTTCATTCTCTCACTGATTTGGGACCTGAAATTATTCTGCATGTATCTTAAGTTCTTTTATATACAGAAAAACTTACACTTAAAACTTGTAAGTTATAATTATTGGAAATAGTTTACTGTTCTGTCCTAAAGTAGTACCAGTACTCACAGATAACACTGAAAACTTTAGTTATTGGGAAAGGACTAACATTAGTCCCTTATCTTTATACAGTGCTTTAGGGTTTTCGGGCATTTTCTATAGATTTCTTTTTTGATCATAACATCATCCCTGAGTAGTAAAAAAAAGGCAAGAAGTATTGCCCCTTATTTTACAGAAAAAGAAAATGAGGCCCCCAAAAGATTTAATCTCTTGTTCAGTGTCCCTTTTCCAATGAGATAGGAAACTAGCACTGGAGCCCTGATTGGGTGCTCAGTTGGTTAGAGCATCGTCCCCATACTCCAGAATTCCAGGTCCGTCCCCAGTTGGGAGATGAAATGAGAATCAAGAACCAACAAATGAATGCATAAATAAGGGGAGCAACAAATTGATCTCCCTCTCTATCCGTCTCCCTCTCCCCCTCCATCTTCCTCCCTCTCTTTTTTCTCTCTAAAACCAATACATAAATTTTTAAAAAAATTTTAAAGAAACTAGCACGGAACTCAGGCCTCCTGACTCCTAATTTAATGCATGTTACAACATTAATAACTATTTAGATTTAATAAAATTTTGGTTTAATAAGTGCCAATTTGTTTTGTGTTTATTTTGCAGAATCAGGTTCTTTTCTTTCTCAAAGACATATTTGACTTTGAGAAAGTACGCTATTCCAGTATAGAGACTTTGGCTGAAGACCTCATGCAGTTACTTATTCGCCGCACTGAACTTTTAATGGCCTACCTTGGAGCCGATGCACTGAGGCATACAAATAGTTGTACAAGTAGTCATGGTCACGTTCTGTCCGGGGGCCTAGTGGAAGCCAAAGTGCTATAAGAAGCATGAAAATCAGACAATTTGAGTGTGCTGTGAACTATTTTAAGGTAACTATTGATTCTGTAACATTACACAGAATTGGTAGATATGGACTCAGGGAGGGAAAACAATCTAGTAAAGAATGAGTGACCGTACTGTACTTACACAGAAGTTCTGTCATTGAATCCCTGTGTAGTGTATCCAAAGCAGCTTTTTACAGTCTTCAGGTAATAATTTAAGTCGTGAGATGTTGCATATTTTACAGAAATATTGCTTGAACTGAAACCAGTACTTGGAAGTTAATTGATTTGTCGTCTTGAAGCTGTCTGAAATACCCAGTATCATTCTCAAGAGCTCTGTTTTTATGCTTTGCACCTTGCAATTATACACTTCAACTAAGACATGTGTGGCCCACATATACAGGAATGTATTACTCCCAGTGTCAACAAACTCAACTTTGCCTGAAAATGTATTTTTAATTGTGAAGTTACTCATTTGTTTAATCAAGTTTAGACAGTCGTGGTGTTTAATATGTACTGTTTACATTATAGCTTGTGCATTTGCTTATGTATTTGAATCAAATAAATTGTAAATGGCTGAGTATTGTTATAAAACATTTAAATGAATTGACACTGACAAGTTTACAAGTTATAAGTTTATATTAGATTTACTGTAGTTTCCAAAACATATTACTATTGGCCCTATAAGTTACAATAGAGACACTAAAGAAATTTCTTTTATCTTTATGGATTAGAGCATTTTTCTCTTAAATGAATATGATTAAAAAGATAACATTTATTAACTATGACAGGCAGTTAAAATATTTTCTGTGTAGTTTTTAGACTATCTCCCAACATCTGAAGTTATGAATATTGGTATGGGAAAAACGATTTCTCCTTACTCCTTCTACAAAACTGGTTTTTAGTTATTCTCACAGAGAACGTAGCACATTTTGTCATGTTATGTCCATATTTTAAAAATATTCATACTTTCAATCTCAGTGAGGTTTTAAAAAAGGGATTTTTCCCCCTGTGAATATACAACAAAATACTTTTATTAAATTTATGGGGGTGACACCGGTCAGCACAGTCATAGAGGTTTCAAGTGCACATCTCTGTGATACATGGTCTGTCTGTTGCACTGTGTGCCCATCACCCAGTCAAATCATCTTCCGTCACCGTGTATTTGGCCTCCTTTACCCTTTACTACTCTCCCACCCTCTTCCCTCTGGTAACCACCATACTGTGGGTTACCTATGAGCATCTGTGTCTAGGAGTGTTAGTTTTATATTCCACATATGAGTGAAATCATATGGTCCTTAGCTTTTCCTGACTGACTTATTTCGTTTAGCATAATGTTCTCAGGGTCCATCCGTGTTGTCACAAATAGCAGTACTTCATCTTTTCTTATGACTGAGTAATATTCCATAGAATATATGTGCCATACCTTTTTTATCCAATCTTCCATCAAAGGACACTGAGACAAATTATTTTTAATGGTGTAGAAGTATATTTCATGTCCTTTATGATGAATATATGAACAAGTGGGTTGTTCATGTAAGTAAGGTTTGTTAGAGTATATTAGATACTTTCAGAGTTGTATTAATTTTGTGTCTAAATCATACACCACTTACTTGGAGTGGCTGACTCAGTATGTCAATGGATCGGATTGATTTTGTTTTTAAAGTGGGCTTTATTCATTTTAGGAGTGAGTTACCCAGAAGGGTTTAAAAATATTTTTTAAATGCATTTTTAGATTTAAGTGTCTCGTTTCTAATTAATGAATAGAAAGTGAAAAGTGTGGTAGGGGGAGCATAATCTCCTAAGGCTTTAAATTTATGTATACGCCATGGTTAGTTAACAGTAGTTACAAATATGAGATTCAACATCTTCATGCTATTTGCATGTACTATGTTCCATAATCTTCAGGTTATAGCATTAAATGATATGACATATTGCTCTAATAATTTTTGAGTATATAGCTCCTTGACTTTTCTTACATATATTCTTAATTTAAGAATTGGCTCTTTATAATTCTTGTTATTGATGGAGGAATATTATTATTAGAAATATCAAAGCTAAAAATTTCATTATGTAATATTTTAGTTTTTGATTTATATCTTGTATTTTTAGCTTCTTGTTGAGGTACCACTGGCCTTGAATGATACACACACACACACACACACACACAAACACACATATGTACACACACACATTACCATGATCATGTAGGCAAGACAGTTATTGTTTATATTAATTTTACTGTTTGGGGGGTGCTAAAGGTTTTAAGCTGTGGTTTTATAAACAAAGCTATAAGTAAATTTGATTACTCTTTTATTTGAGGAAGATACTGTTTGAAATCTATTTTGAAGAACTGCACTATTTAATAATGCTGCTACTATGTAAAATAACTGAAGAATTTATTTCATCAGGTGAGATGAATGGCTTTCCCAAAGGTGTTTTTCTTTTTTCTTTTATATTTCACCTTAAAAAAAAAAAAAGTTGGCCATATTCAAGAGGTTGATTTGTCTAATTACAGGCTTGAGTTTGATTAGTTTCTGGTCAGTTCAATAGCTACTGCTTGTGTAAGTGCTTTCTTTGTGGCCTTTAACAAGAGTCCAGAGTGACCAAATAGAATTTGAGGGTAATAAGTATAGGAAAAAAACTATCATAAGAGAAGAATCTTCACCTTTTTAAAAGAAATATCTCTTTAAAATGTTTTTGACCACAGAAGAGCACTTAAGACATTGGAACCAATTGCAATTTGCCTTGAAATTGGGTTAAACAGTTAATGTTTTTAAAAAGAAAAGAAAATGATTTAAACTAGTTTTAACCCTTTTAGGATAAACCCTGTTTAACATTTACTCATGGTAGTATTATCAGAAAACTGCCATTGCCACGTAAGTCCTACCGCCCACCTCCATATGCAAATTATAAGTGGGCCTTGAGTTAGTCCTGAGAAAACAGATTTTTTTTTCCTCTTCTGTTTTCTGGAAGAATAAAGATGAGTGTTCAGGTGATTTATATTTGGCTTTTTTTTTTTCTATTTTGGTATCTCTGAATTTTTAACTAAAAAGCTAGTTATTTCTTCTCTGAGACTTACAATATGTTTATTAAATGTCAAAATGAGCTTATCTTTTTAAAAAGAAGCCAAGTTTTTCATTCTGTTATAGTCAGCTCCAAAGAACTTTCTCTCCTACTGCAGTATGCTTTATTTGCATCCATTTACTATGATTATATTAATTTGTTGAATTGACTTTATAAAAATATTTACAAACTCTTGCCTTAAATATGTAACATTTTGTACTTAAATGATTAGCTAAGGAATGATTATTTGCATTACAAAAGAATGCTTTATCTCCTTTAAATATATGGAATAGGAATGCCAAAGTAACATTTAATATACTCCTCTCATAATCAGAAATTTTAAATTATGTTTGTAAACTAATTTGCTTTTATTTTAATGTGAACACATTATGGAATTATTTGGAAGTATTTCAAAGTATTTTACAATTCAGCCTGAATTCAAAATTTTGGTTATTTGCTTAGATTAATCAAATTTAGAAATATCTCTGTATGTGAGACTTAGGAATTTGTATAATCTATGATTAATGGAAATAAAGGCACCCATTTTTTTTGTTCCTAATGATTATATTGTGCTGTTGTTTTGCTTAGTTTGAGAATAACCATGTGTTAGCTTTACTTGACTGATATCAGTGAATTTGTCTATTTCCTAAATGTAAGGACTGCACTAACTAGTTTATGTAAAAGTGAAACACTACAGTAGCAGAAAAAGATAGCATTGGCTCTTTATCCGAAATAAGCACTATAACATGGATGTATTTCTACTACTGCCAAATAAAAAAGCGATGATGTATCTTGCTGGTGTAGTGAGTATTTTATACAATGCTTATCTATCTCAAGGTCATTCTTGTTGCGCATTGAAGTTGCCATAAGCCTCTCATACAGGCATAGAGAACGAAGATAACTGGAGAAGCAATGAAATCATGTGTAAATGTTTTCTTTATGTATTAACTGGGAGAAAAGACAGTTTTGTAATGAATAAAGTCAAAGTACTTGCATTTTAATAATTTAAAGTGTTTTGATTAATAGCACCATCAAACACAATATAAATTTATCCTATTGATGTACATGCATCCATCCCTATTCAGACATTGCCCTTTCCCACCACTGCCTGGTTAGTATTCAGATACGTTTAGTCAAGGAGTGTAGTGCTGCCCAGATACACAGTAGACACTGGATGGTAAGAAGGGTTTACCTGTATATAAAAATGGCACTCTTGATTTGGGGCTTTTAATAAAGAGATGTTTTTTAGGATGATTAAATATGTACAGCATAGATAAAATATATATGGTTATATTTTTAAACTATTAAACAAACTGAAATGTGTAATTTAATAAGCAAACCATACAAATATGAGTGGAATCGCTTCCTAGCTAGGCTGCAGGGTTGGAAATAGACTGGGAAACCAGGTGAGAATCTCAATCTCATCTTCTGTTTCCTTTGCCATCTGCCATACTCTGTCGTCTCATGCCATTTTCTTTGATTCCACTGCATAAACTTAATGGTTTGCACTTTAAACATCTCTCCCTGCCCCTGGCCGGTGTGGCTCAGTGGGTCGAATGCTGGCCTGCAAACTGAAAGGTCACTGGTTTGATCCCTGGTCAGGGCACATGCCTGGGTTGCAGGCCAGGTCCCCAGTCAGCGGCGTGTGAGAGGCAACCAATCAATGTTTCTCTCCCTTTCTTTCTTCCTCCCTTTCCCTCCCTCTGAAAATAGTCTTTTAAAAAAAATAAACATTTCTCTCTGTATGTTTAAAATACTTCTCTGCAGGTATCTCAGTGTCCTGTTGTTAACGATATTTGTGGGACTTTGCAGGAAATCTTTATAAACTCAGTTTATCCACTGTCATTCTTACTGTTCTTATGCCACTTTTGACTTCTGTTTTTTTATGGAGTGTTTATTCCTATACCCTGTATTCTGTGATACTTCACCCTGCTAGTTCGCCTTTAATCTCTCTCTCTCCTATGCTACTGACATCTTTGATAGGCTTCGCAGCTCTTTTGCTGAGGTTCTTTTTTGTTTTTTCTACACCTGCACAGTCAGAACCCTTGGTTATCCTTCATCGTTTGGGCAAGAAAGGACTGATTTCGGTACAGAAAAAAAAGCAAACTTTTCTTCTATGACACTTTATTTTTTACTTAAAAGCCACAGCAAAGCAACTGGTACATCAAACACCACCACAGTGTTTTGCTTTTAACTGTCTCTTATGTGTGTTGCAAAGCCTTTCACAATGCACATTTATATATAGAAGATTGAAGAACTTTTATAATTTGCTGTGTTTGAAATAATACTTGGATATAGAGAAGCACTTTGACATTTGAAATATATGACCCCCAGCATTTTGCTAATTCTTTTATTTAATATCACTATGTGAGAGAAAAGGCCCCGGGACTTAAAAACAGGACTGAGTGTTTAATGTGATAGAAGAGGAATAATTTTAAAAAATGGGTTAAAGCAGGTGTATTTGTTATATATTGCTGCATAACAAATTATCCCAAAATTTAGCAGCTTGAAGCAACAAATACACCTCTTTATTAAAACATTTCTCACACAGTTTCTGAGGGTTGGGAATCCTGGAATGACGGGTTTTGGTGGTTCTAGCTCAGGGTTTTTTCTAAGATTGCAGTTACCTGAAAGTTTGACTAGGGCTGGAGGATTTGTTTCCCAGCTTTGCTTATTCACACAGCTGTTGTCAGGGAACTTCAGGTCTTTGCAACAAGAGCCTCTTAACAGAGTCACCTAAGTATCTTTAAAAAATGGTGGCTGTCCTGGCCAGGTGTCTCAGTTGATTGGAGTGCCGTCCTATATACCAAAATGTTGCTGTGTTTGATCCCCTGTTGGGGCACATACAGGAGGCAACTGATCAATGTTTCTCATGTTGACATTTCTCTCAAATCAATAAACACCCTGGGTTGAGGATAAATAAATACATAATAAATAAAACATGGCAGCTGGCTTTCCCCAGAGTGAATAACCCAAGAGCTATCAAGGCAAAAAACACACAACCTTTTATAACCTAAGCTTATAAGTGACATACCATATCTTGTGCCCTATTCTATTAGTCTCACAGACCAACCCTGACACACTGTGAGAGGAGATGACACAAGGGCATGAATACTAGGAGACAAAGCCTTTGAGGGCACCTTGGTGGCTGGATACCACAGCAGGGAGTCAATGAATTATACATAGATAGTGTAGACATTTTAATTTTAAGTGAATGAGTGTACATTCTTTGGTTAATCTTTTGGTGTAAGGTCAAGGTCTTAGAATATGGACCTACCTGGTATCCTGAAATATCTTTGTTGCATAAATTTCATCTGTAAATCATCTGTGATTTACAGTTTCCCTTTTAAAAGGAAAAAATTTACTTGAAAGGGGTAACTGCTGATTCCCCTTGATTTTTATAATTTTGTACCCAATCTTTGACATTCGTCTTCCCCACACCTAGTTTAATGGCAATTTTTGTAAGCTATTTGACTTTATTGTCTTCAGAGCATTTAACTTAGCTTTAAGAAAAAACTAACTCTCAGCTTTTATATTTTTTTGTAACATTTACTTGATGTAATTTCAGTAGCATGCAACTTATATATTCAAGTTGGAGAATGAACCCAACTGATTCATAATAAATATGTAAGGAATGTTTATACAAATGGGCAGATCATGGATTTCTAATAGCGGTCTGCAACTTGGCATGTTTAAAACTGAGCTCCTGACCACACCTACCTCAGCCTCCTCCTTCCAATCTTCCTCATCCCAATAAGTGACAACTTCATTCTTCCAGATCCTTAGGCCAAAAACTTCTTTTCTGCACACCTCATATTCAATGGTACCAACATTTTACTAGTTCTACTTTTTAAAAAATGTATCAAGAGGAAAAAAAGTGCTTAGCATTTCTTAATTATCTTCACAGCTATAGCCTTGATCCAATCTCCTATTACCTGTCATCCTGATTATTTTGGAAGCCTCCTAATTGGTCTCCCTGCTTCATTTAGTGTATTTGTAATACATCAGCCAGAGTGAGCATGATAAAAATGTCAGATCGTGTCACTACTTTCTTCCAAATCCACCAATGGCCGCCCATCTTCCTCGGAGTAAAAAGGTACAAAAACGGTTCTCCACGTTCCGTTTCCTGCCCAGCTCCACTTCCTACTAGATCATCCTCAGCCTACTCAGCTCCACCCACACAAGCCACCTCACTCTTCCTAGAACACATCAGATAGGCTCCCCCTTGGGGCCTTTGTACCTCTCCCTGGACTGCTCTTCCCCCAGATAGCTCATGATATTTACGTAGCTCACTGTCTCACTTTCCTCAACTTTTACTCATATGAGACTTTTTCCTAGCCACTCTACCTGAAAGTACAAAATCCACCCACCCCATTCCCAGCATTCCCCACTTCCCTACTCTGGTCTTTCCCATATTGCATATCACTAAGTACTACATAGTTTGTTTCTTTGCTTATTATTGTCTGCCCTCTTCCACCACAATGTATGTTCCATGATTGCAGGGTTTTTTATTTGTCAGTACTATATCCTCAGTATCTAGAATTGAATATTTGTTGAATGAATGATGGATTGATGGGAGAAACAGACCTTGCATGTTGTGGGTAGCTGCCAGTTTTATGGTAAGAATGGAGAGTTTTGTTTAATTTGGTGAATCTGGTGAGAGGAAATCAGTTAAGAAAACTTACAATCATTTAAATCATAAACATAAATGTGTAATTATAAATTGCTAAGAGTAGAGAGAAAGGATGGGATGACTTTATAACAGAGCAGACACATAGATTGGAGTGAAAGGCCTCTTTGAGAAAGCAACATTTAAGAAGACAGCAGAAGCTTATGTTGATGTTTGGTAGGTAAAGAGTGGGGGAAGGAGGATTTCATGCAGGGGGAACAGTCTGTGCAAAGGTCCTGGGCCAGAATGACCATGTATGGTTCCGTGAACTGACGGTCAAGGTGATGGTACTGAAGGGCGCAAGGGGGTGAGGGAGATCTTCCAGGCCACCTACCACTGTCTGTATTAGACTAAACTTAAACAGCTGTTTTAATTACCATTCTAGACCTTTAATCGAAGAAGGAATGGCTTACACAAAAGATTTTCATTTTGAAAATAGTGAATGGGGATGGGTTGGAGAGGAAAAGTTGTAATTAAGAGCAGGTTTTTATCAACATCCCTGAAAATATAACCTGGGCCCTACTGTCTGCTCAGGGCTGGCAGTCAGAAATGGTTGTCCCTGTTTTATCAGTGTGGATGCTAGTCCAATTTTTAAATTATTTAATTTGTTTATATTCATTTTCTGCGTGGAGTAAACAATTGATCGCTCCCACCAGAATAATGCCCTCTCTGGATGAGCATTTCAGGTTTTCAAATTGGTCGTTTGATGGGTATAATTGACAGGCTTGTGGTCTAGGTTGAAATGTTCTGTGGGTGCTAAGCCCCTCAGATGTCTTTCTGCGTTCAATTAAAGAAAGGTGGAAGATTATATAATTATTATGTCCTTTTATTCCTCCTCCCCATCTCCCTCCTCCTCTTCTTCCACTTTTCTCTATGGGCCGTTCTCTTTGGATTAAAGACCGGTGTCAAGAAAAGGTGAGCAATGGGCAGATAAAGCGGCCCCCAGACTGCTGCCCTACACTCTCAGTAATAAGAGAAAAAAGTTGGCGAGGTCAGTTAACGCTTAGAAACCTGGGCTGGTGAAATAGCTGAGAGAATGGGGCCCCAGGGCAAACTGGCTGTGGGTAACTGGGAGCCAGTTCAGCCTATTTAGCAATTCCTTTCCAGGATCTTCCCTTTCCCACAGGGGAGGACCTCGAGCCGTGAGACTGGCAAGGTCTAGCGGAAAGTTAGCAGCCACCGCCCCCCCTCGCCTGCCTTCCTCCTCGACTCTCCACCCCTCT